CTGCTATAAACATAGGCACACATATATCCCTATGATATGATGTTTTCAGATCCTCTGGGAAAATTCCTAGCTCCCTGAAATGCAGGCTAGATGCAGGTTCCGCTTTCTTCTTTGTGAATCTAGCTTGCTATTTTTACTATTTTCCTGAATCATGGGCTTCAGTGCAGATCAACTGATAGGAGTAAAGAACCAGCCAAATAATTACAGTGCAGTGCCAAAGGCAGGTCACATTTTTGGAGTTGGTCCTAGTGCTCGGGTGAGCCATCAGCACCCCAAGGACATGGACAGCCCAGTGGGCTCTGTGCAATGCTCCAGTCCTTGACTGAACAGCTTCAGACTGGAGCTCCAAGTGCAAAACAGGGGGGCAGCATAGGTCTTCAAGGTCAGGGTGAGCTAAGGTCAGGTGAGCCTTAGTCTTTCAGGAGGAACTCACCCTAAGCTCAACATCAGGTCTAGTTTTCAGCTTCTTGCCTCCACTTGTTTCCCATCTTTCCTGGAATCTGACGTGAGTTTTATTTTTCCTCAAAATTCCTGGCAAGTTATATCCCTGAGTCCTTCCCATTTTGAAATCTTGGTGCTCCTTCCCTTTCTTGTTCATTTATACGTTCATTATTCAATAAGTCATCAGGAAACATTTTTGTGTGTTAAATGGGAGGCACGTTCCTGGACTTTATACTTGAAATAGAGAATCATGACATACATGTGAAACGACGTGAGAGGTGAGGGCTAGGTCTAGAGATGGTGAGCCTCGTAGAGCTGTCAATGATGCCAGCAGCCCGCTGCAGCACAGGTCCCAGAGGTTTGCTGCCCCAGCTCCAGGGCCAACAGTGAATGACCCTCTATTTACTCCATTGCCATCCTGGACATGCCAAGTGGAAATTGACTGCAAGCAGCCCTTCCAAACTGTGTCTCAAGTAGAGTCTTTCAGTTTAAGGTTATCCAGTGCAAACCATTTGATCTAGGTGGGTGCTTGTGCTCTGTTCCCTTGTTCTCCATGTAGGAACAGTCCTCTCTCTTCTCTCCTCTTCTCCCAAGGAGCAGCCTCGATAGGCCCTTGATCATAAAGGTCAAAGCCTTTTGCCACAGACTGTATCTTCCAGTGTCTGTGGCAGATGGAACAGGAGGCCTTGCTGCAGTGGGAACACAGGTTGCATTGTGAAAGTTAGCAGGCTCATGTTGAATGGACCTAATATGTGGACCCCGGACGAGGTTGGTGCACATGCCAGCCTTGCCTCCCCACTCCTGAGGCTGCATGCCTTGCTTCTATCCATAAAGCCATCCTGATAGGCTGGTCCTGTCAGGATACAGTGCCTTTCACTGGGTACAGTCAGTTTACATGGGCTAATGCTAAGACATGAGTCTTAGACTCAAAATTTGTGCATATGTATTTCCCTAATATATATTTAACTTCTTCTAAAAAAAGAAAGGCACTTGAACAATGACTCCCTTATGATGGAATTCCAGGTAGAATAGGACAGATAGTGTAGGGCAGGTGACCATTCCAGTCCCCCTAAAGTACTCTCCATCCCTGAGATCTGGTATCTTCCCTGTTCAGTCCAAGCAGAGGGTCTGGTGACAAGATAACTGTCTATGTAGACCAAGTTAATTTCAAGTTAGTTGTTTGCATATTTTTGCTGTTTGGCAATTTTTTTAAAAAAGGTGTCATGTTTAACATAGTTTTATGTACATTCTTCAGAATAGTTGTCTTTTGCATTTTTTCTTTTATTATTATAGTGAAATAAATTAGATTTTTTTTTGAGGGGGCAGAACTGGGGATTGAACTCAGGCCCTTACGCTTGCCAGGGAAGCGGTTATTCTACTGAGCCATCTCCCTGGCTATAGTGAAATAAATTTGATCCACATTTTGCCTTTGACTTTTGAGGCAGACATCAAAACATCTGACCCATCAAACATTTAGTGAAATGTTAGATGCTGTTTTCCATAAAAGCAATATTTTAAGTACTAAAATCCAGGAAGTCAATTTGCCAAACTTAAACATACTGTGACTGGAAAAGGTGTAGAATTGCTTCAGAGTGTCAAATTAATAAGGAAAAGATGGACTTATAATTTAGGAAAAAAATCTCCTTTTTAATTCTTTCTCTGTTATTTTGTGAGAAAAAAGTACAATGGACTACTTTGCCTTAACTTATCTTTGTGTTTTTGTTTGTTTGGTTTCTAATTGACAGTGGTTTCAAGAGTCCTTTCTCAGACTATGTTCCATGGAACACAAGTCCCTCAAAACCTTTTAACAAAAAGTAAAACAAAACAATTTTATCCACTAAATGTGGAAATTGCTCTTAATTTTTTCCTCTCTGGACGATCATACCAAGTGTCACCATCCAGAGTTTCTGACAGAAGGGATAGTAAAGCAAATCTTGACTTTACCAAACCCAGAATCACCTGTCCTGTTTCTCTGTCTACTAATAACCATGGACTGCAGTTTGGAGAAACGCTGAGTTTCCGTGGCTACTTGGCCCCTGCACATTTCTCCACTTTAGAAAATGGCCCGGGTGCAGCGCAGTCAATATGTCACTTTTTCGACTCTCACACCCTGGGCTCAAATCTCAGCTCTGCTATTTACCAGCTATGTGACCTTCGGCAATGAAAACCTTTTTCAATGTCACTCTTGTCATTTCTAAAGTGGGCATAATCTCTGAGGGTGGAGAAGATTTAAACAACTTCTGTCAAGTACTTTGGCCAGTGCTCCACATACAAACATTCTCAAAATTTTTATAATTACTTTGTACTGCTACTTTCAGCAATGCTGGGTTGTGTACATCCAAGTGACTCCTAAATACAGAGGTTGTCGCCACCCCCACACTTCTTGTCATTTAGATGCGAAAGATTTTTCACTGAACATGCAAACGTCATCTCAATCAGGCAATTATTGCACCTGGATTCTGCTCCAGACCTATGAAGTATGGTTATGAAATAAAATGAATGTTTAAATTTTAAAAATTGTTACAGTAAGAATATTGCCATGAATCTCCCTAAAATTTGTTTCACCTTGCTTTGAATACACTCATCCCATCATCCTTGCCACTTTCTGTAGCAGCTCTAGGAGTCCTCTTTCCTGTATTTTTACCTACAGTGTTGTGGCTGGCTCACCGTCTGGAGTTGACTCAACATGTCCCCCTTCCCTGGTCACAGTACCAGATGGTGTGAATAAGGTGGACAAGGACACAGAGCCTTGTGGATCCCAACCTGCCTTCCACTGGATGCCACTTGGCAGCAGCATTCCCCATGGTTTTGATCACACCTGCCAAGGAGAATTTCCAGAGGTGGCAAGTCTGTTTGGAGTGAGGGAGTGTTTATATTTAAATTTAAATAAACATCGTATTTTGTGATCACATTTTGTTTTTTATTTATTATTTGTGGTACTAGGGCTCAAACTCATGACCTTGTACCATCTGCCAGGCAGATGCTTATGCTGCTAAGCTATATCCCCAGCCCTGTGATCACCTTTTGGAAATGACTACATCAATGACTACAGTAGACACGCTTACTTGGAGACAAACTCCAGAGACAAGCAGACACCTTCCTTGTCTTTCTACTCCAGCGCTTCATCTCAGGCTCTCTCTCTCTCTCTCTCTCTCTCTCTCTCGCTCTCTCGCTCTCTCGCTCTCTCTGCTCTCTCTGCTCTCTCTCGCTCTCTCTCACTCTTTCTCTGCCTCTGTTTCTCTGCCTCTCTGTCTCTGTGTCTGTCTGTCTGTCTCTCTCTCTCTCTGTCTCTGTTTCTCTCTGCCTCTCTGTCTCTGTCTGTCTCTCTCTCGCTCTCTCTGTCTCTCTGTCTCTGTTTCTGTCTCTCTCTGGCTCTCTGTGTCTGTCTGTCTGTCTGTCTGTCTGTCTCTCTCTCTCTCTCTCTCTCTCTCTCTCTCTTTCTCTCTCTCTCTACTCTCTTTGTGCTCCCCCGTTTCACCCAGCATCATGTGAACTGCTTTGGGGTCACCCCGTTCTGCTTTACTGACCACCAATTTCACCAGCGT